ATCAATGTGAAACTAAACTGATCCGTTATTCATCTCCTGCTTGCTCCATGAAAAAGACCGTAGGTGTAGCTCAGCTGCTGAGAAAGAAGAGGAGGAGCGTTTTCTTCAAGTTAACTCTTAATCAACTTAATCAGAAATATTTCAGCGTAATTAATTTAAAATAAGTGTGGGGGAAGAGTTGCTGGCTCAGACCGAGTTTCAGCTTCAAGTGAATAAACACACGCGCAGGCCTGAGCTGCTAGACGCAGGAAATGCTGCGATATGCAGCGTACTTTCCCGTGTTCCCGGTGGCTGCAGGTCATGTTGGGGTCTCCATTTCAGTTGGAATGAGGTCACCCAACAAGACGAAAAGCAAACCCATTCCACGTGTTTGTCCTCTTCTTCGCTTCATAAACATCGTTGGGAAGAAAGGGGAACACTGCTGCACCTTTGTCACGGCTGTGCTGCATTAGCAAAAAGGCGCGCAGGCGCTGCGGCGTGGTTACAAAGGGCAGCTGCGAAGGTGCAGCCTCTGTGTGCCGCACAAAGGCCGAGTGCTCACAGGCTGAGGAGGTCTTAGGTTTCACTGGGCCCATCTTGAACCATTTTTCTGCATGTAGGATTAAACCGTGTTTTGAGTACGCGTTAACACCATCTTTCTGTTCCAGTCTGTTTCCTATAGAGACTCCTGTTGGTCACGTGCACTTTGGCTCCTCTGCTGAAGTACAAATAAGGAGCTATAACAGCACTGTGTCACTACTTTGGTTAGCATTTAGCTAATAAGTGTCCAAATCCTGAGAACCGCACTACATGTGCAGCAGGTGTGCTTTTTTCCTTTGACCCTGTGGCTGGGTTTTCTGCCAAGAAGAAGAAAAACATGGGAGTGGTGGCGCTCACAAAACTTTTGAGGACAAGACGAGACTTGACCTCAGTGCTACTATACTTTTTGTGTGCAGCTATGCCACAGAGGTGTGGTCTGCTGCCATGGACGCGCGTTATCACAAGGCTAAAACCTTACACGCAGATTCCTTCAAATCTTTCCACCGAGAGGGAAGAACTATTGTCTGGACTGACTCACTGTTACGCCGCTGTTTTTAACTACAAAAGCTGAACTGAATCACTTTCACTGGTCCATCTTGTCCATAATAAAAGACCATCTGGGAGGCAGTTTATAATGGTTTCTTCTTGGCCCTGAGCTCTTCACTGAATAACTCTTAAAAATATATATATATAGTTAAAGACTGAAAGGTGTCATTCATTGATGTGGTCACGCAGCAGCCCTTTGGATTTCATAAGGATGAGCTGATTCAACACCAACACAGTTCAAATATGGCAAATCATGTAGATGCAGCAATGATCTAGCCGACTGTGATTATTCCCGTACCACCACTCGGATAAAACACCTCCAGTTCAGCTAGTCTGGCACGCTTCAAGCCCCAGTATGAACGGTTACGGGCTGTGAGGAAATCATAATTGACACAAAAACCACCAACGCGCTGACCAAAAACAAGTCACAACACGCCGGCCAGACCAAGTCTTATTGTGGGAAACACTGAAACCTGAGCTGCTGAAATGTTGAGTGAAATTAACCAGCAGCAGCTGTGAAGTACATATGAAATATGACACAAATGTAAGAAACGTGATTATTTGCTGTCCTAGTGCAGCAGGGTGTTTCTTCTGGTTCAGAAAAGCCTTTGGGCAGTAACACTGCAAATAAGCTGAACCTGTCAGTGCTGCAAATCTGTTACTTCTGATCATCTCAGACACAAAATGTCCAAACTAACATTTTAACCCCAAATTCACAAAAATAGTTACAGAAATTATTTTGTTTCAGCGCTCGACGCCTTCGGCTCTGGACAGCACATGATTGGGGAAATGTTAGTTATTCTATGCAGGAAAAGAATCCCTGAGTATCGCGCTACATGTTTAATTGTTTATATATCAGAGCTGCAGATGAGCACGACAGGCAGATAAGGGACACATCCTGGACATCTGTCTGGACAGGATTTCCCTAGCCGTTTACCACTGGGGCAAACTGGTTTGACCAAAGTCCACAATGTCTTCTGCAGTCACACACTGGCATATTTACAGTGCTCGTCAGTCGTTTACATACAAGTCATCATACCGCGAATAGCATCGGATCTCATCTGATCCACGCAGGCTCAAATATAAGAGCCTGGGAACCACCGAGGCTCACCCGGGCCACGAACTGGAAACCGTCCACAGTGAAGCAAGTTTCACATCAGCGTGGACTGACAGGGCGCCAACCAAGAAAGACGCCTCGGCTCCAAACTCAACACCTTCAAGCTCAACTGAAATTTTCAGCTCAGATGTCTTCTGGGAAAAAAGAAAACGTTTTATAGACGAGAGAGATGCTTGGACAACCACGTGTGAGGCCGCTGTCCCTCGCACTATGGTAATAACCTTATTCTGCTACACTGCATAAAGTGGATGGAATCCAAATTTTTCAACTTCAACTCAACTGCTAGACACTGAAATCTGGACAAAGCTGGGTGTCCCAACAGGACGGCGATTCCAAATAAACAGCAAAACGAGTTTTGAAATGGTCAGCGCACGCTACCATTAAGCTTCTGGACTGGCTTTGCCAAGCCCTCGGTCTCACGCAAACTGAAAATTTGAAGACTACGCTTAAAAGCCAAGTCCATGCTAGGAAATCAACTTGTTTAAATTAAGCAATCCAGCAAGAATTGTGCCAGAAGATTGTTCACAAGTCCAAATAATTCTTATTTATATACTTAGCCTGGTGCACAACCGACCAGTGTCTGAAACCAGCCATTTTATCTGCTTTTTCCATCCCTTTAGTCCAGCGGTCTCCAACCTTTTTTGCGCCACGGACCGGTTTATGCCCGACAATATTTTCACGGACCGGCCTTTAAGGTGTCGCGGATAAATACAACAAAATAAAGCTAGTACCGGTACCGAAAAAAAAAACAAGATTTATTCATAACACACGTGAAAAGACCCAGGAACACCGAGTTAACGATAAAAACGATAACAAAATAACACTGAAAACGATAAAAACCCTGAAAACTACACATTTCACACCTGAGCCTCAACTCTCGCGGCCCGGTACCAAACGACTCACGGACCGGTCCGAGGCCCGGGGGTTGGGTCCGCTGCTTTAGCTGATTGGATGCCACTTGCAAACAGAAGGATGGAACTGCACGTGGGTAGATATTCTCTGCCACAGCGCTGCATGACAGAACCATGTAAGGTCATATCTTCTCTGAGTGACATCCTTCAGAGCCCAGAGTAGAACAACTGCCTGGTCCACCGTGGTAACTGTACGTGTGCGGCAGAGGATGAGAACAATCTTAAGAGCTACCTTTGAATGGATTTTGTTGAAAGGCCCTTTTTAATTAGAACTTTACAATTAAGGCACATTTCTATTCTGGAAAGGACACCGTAGCTTTGTTTGAGCAGCCATTTCAACGTACATTATTAAAATGCATAAATTTGGAGGATTCTATATCAGTGCCTTTGGAGTGGTAAATAACAAGCAGCAACACGGGACCTCCAGGCAATTATGACAGCTTGAATCTGCATGTTGTGTCTGCTAGAGCTCAGTTTCTAGTGACAACACAGGGAAATGTCACGATGAGGTCACCACTTGGCACTCAGGCGCCTCTCCTTAAAGGCTTGGGCTCACTGGCATTGTTGCAAAGCCAACTTGATGCAGCACATCAGCTGAGAACTAGCAAAGGGGGGCAACAACTGATTGTCCTAAAGGAAACATGTTTCAGCAGAGGCACAAAAGTACCTCGTCATCCTCATGCAGAATCCCCCAAAAAACATGAACAATGGCCAAAACCAGCCACTTCCAGCCTGCACAACTGTGTTTTTAGCACAGAATAGGTTGGCCAGATGGTGGCTGGTGGGGTAGATGAACTTAGCAGCCACAGCCAAAAGATTTAACACGTGTTTAACTGCCATCCTGTCTGTCTGTGACACAGTCACTCACTGACGGGCCAAACGGCTAGTCTGTCTGTAGAGGGTTTTTTTGTATTTTTAGAAACATAGACAAAAAGATTCCTGCAGATATGACACACAAGCGCTTTCCTTCTAATATGTCGCCTCATTGCCTTTCGTTTTAATCCACATTTCTGCTGTGAGGTCAATGATTTGCTCCTGCACTGCCACCCTTCTCTCAGGGCTGTAAAAGACAGCGCAGTCCAGGCAGCCAGGCATGCTCCGGCAGCTAGCTGGGCCTCTGCCCTACATAACAAAAAAGGTGAGTCGTTCACATTCCTGCTTCATGCACAAACCAAACCCCAATGTCTCACACACACACCCCTTCTCTTGTTGGTGTGTGTGGTCTTCCTGCTCTTCTCCTTTTCTCTAACCTTGGGGAGTCTTAAAGTTACAAAACAGCCAGAAAAAGGCAGAACCCCCCCCCCCCCTTCTCCTCTGTAGAAACTAATCAAAGCATGGGCGTGTGCAAGTGATTTCTGTCTGATGGGACAACTCTACCCTTCACGTGCATACAAACCCAAGCAAACTGACATGCAAAGTAGCCGTGATGACAGGAAAGCCATCTACTTCACATTAAGTGCATTCCCACTGGAATACATGGCGGCCTGCAGGGGAGAGAACATCTTCATTGGACCCGTCCCGGAAGCATTTCAAATCGGAACAGGCCTGCTCACCAGCCGATACATCCTCTTTTATCATTGTCGGCTTGGTATTTTACAGCATCTCCGTTTTTGGTAATAAACTGGCACCTTCTGTTTTAATGTCTAACCCTCCAACATGCTTTTGTTTTTTTCCAAAACACATAAAACATTTAACTACAGGAGAGTAAAGTGGCCTTGCTTGGCCCCTTCTCTCTTTAGTTTTTAGTGCGAGCCAGTGTGTTAAGAGGAGGCCAAAGTGAGCCCTGCTGCTTCTATAAAAGGAATGTGATGGGAGAAAGGGAGGGCCACTGCGCCAACAGTATTATTAGCTTGATCATCTTACCAAAGAAAGAAAGGGAAAAGGGAGTAAATAAGAAGAATACATACCCCATTCCAAAAACTCCAGGACGTTTTTCTCCCTTCTGAGGGGGGAGTTGTTGCACTCATCATAGAGGCACACCAGGATATCCAGCAGCGTCTCCACACTCAGGCACTGGCCATTAGACTGAGCCGGCCCGTCCAGGATCAGCTTCTCCAGCTTCTTCAAACGCACCTCTCCCGACATGTTCTATTCCTTACTGTTGGCCTTTTGAAGCAATGGTGATGGATGGGGTTGGACGAGCAAACACCTCCTCGGCCTGGAAGTCAGCGCAGAGGGGGGCCTTGAAAAGTTCTCGCCACTGCACGTCTCGAAAAATAATCAAACTTTTGCGCGTTGAGGCCAAGCCGGTGCTAAATAAGCGTTAAAATGCGCCTAATCATGACCTTCCTCTCGAGAGCCAGTATCTTGAAGCTGGGTGAGACGTGCAGCACTTCCCCATTTTTAATACCTATCCCCCCAACCCCTCAAAGGGTGCATAAGAAAAGAAGTAAGCCTGTAACAGACCCTGGCTGCTCCGGGCCGGCTGATTTTGTTGGAATCGCAGCGTTAGCAGGCAGTTTTCTGCTCTCCTCTGGCGTTAAGAGAATATATATATATATTTAAAATAACCTAGTCGAAGCCGTTCAGAACCTCTCCCTGAGTTGAGACAGATATTTGGGATTCTCCATTCTTGCAGCAATCCAAAAAATGCAAACCAGATCTGCAATGCTACAAAGCCCCAGCGCCCCTCCTCTGCTCCAGGAATGGAAGGGCGACAGCAGCTTAGCAGCCTGCTAGGTTAGCTGTTCAGCTAACCAGGGAGCTAACGTTAACGCTACTTTTCTCCGTTCCTTGATGCCACAACTTCCCCCTTTTCCCGGGAGTTGACATGTAACACGCAGCGTTAACACGTCTCAACCAAATGCCGTCTGTCTCTGACAATGTGTATATATATTTTTTATCTAACTGCAAAATATCCCCTTGTTTTCACAACTCACTGCTGGGAGATATGTTCTTTAAATCCCAATCTTCGTCAACGTCTCTTTAGTTTCTTCACAGTTCAAACGCGATGGTTAGCCAAGAGTTCCAACCAGCCTGTAAGTTAGCCGTCAAAGGAGAAAAAATGCGGCTCCTTTTTTTCTCTTATGAAGGTTACAGAAAAGCTCGTTTCACGTCAGGGGGAAGCTGTATTCTCTAGCCTGGCTTATTCCAAATACGGGACACAGCCTAAATTCCCCCCCGTCCTTCCCTTTGCACCGCCGGTCGTTCGCTGCTTTGCCGTCTTTCCCCAGTCAGCTACCAGCGGCTCGATGCCAGAGGCTTTAAACTGAAAAGATGACCCACTATACACTGCTCTGGTGCGCTGCAGCACCGCGCTGCATTGTGGGAAAAGTGGCTCTGCTGGAAATTATGAATGGCTTACAAATAGTCAGAAACGTAATTATGAGTTATTGATAAATACGTACCTTCTTTTTTAACCATAGAAGATCCTTCTAGAAGTAAGTCTCTCCAGTATGCGACCAATCATCCGGACTAATGTTTCTGGGCTGTTATTTGGGGAATTATTTTGAAATTTTATTAAATTACTTTAAGTAAAAAGTACAATTATTAATTATCACGTTTTTAGTTAGGTTGTTGTTTTTTTCTTTGGACGTTATACTTCTACCACCGTGTTTGCTGTTGTGGATATCTCGCGGATATTTCAGTCTCGTCTTACCAGTTTGATTTGAACACGGTGTCTCTGAACACGTTTCCACGCTGTCCAAAAAAAAGGTTATCAGTCTGTGATGTTAGGTAACGCGTTTACAGTTTCCAACTTCCACGCATGCTCGTTAATCCGCCATGTTTCCCGTGTCTCGAGACGTCCTCTATAGCTCGCGGCCTATCTACCACTGTTCTAACGTCTCTGGTTGCTGCTGCAGGCAAAATCCCAGATCATCATCATGGCGCCCGTCACAGCATCTGCTGTGCGAATGGGAGAGGCGGGGGGGGGGTGTTGATGGGAGGGGGTGTTGTCAATATTGTGAATGGGAACTGCGGGCTGTGTGCTGGTGGCGTCTTTTTCTTCACGTAACAATGACTGCTGTCCCTGTAACCGACCGCAAACACAGCACTTAAACGAGATACAGTCCAGCCTGCGTCAGTGCAACTGTGTCGAGTCCAGCTAGCTGTGACAGTGAGCCACCTCACACAGCCACATGCATCAAATATGACAGTCAGATTCCCCACAAACCATTCTGCAATCTACCAAATGTGTCTTGCTTTTGCATTCACAGTCACACCTTAAATGTCTGACACAAAAAGGGTCTGTGTGGCACGCTCTCCCTATTTGCATAGAAACAGTGCATGGGGTTTCATGTAGTTCAGAGTCCGAACTAATCATTCCTTGTTTGGAAATGATCCCTTTAGTGCTTATCACTGCTCAAAGTGCACCCAGTAATCAATAACGGCCTAAGCAGCTGAATGTTTGGGGGAAGGGAGACGGCGAGAGAAGGAGAAGGTGTTTGAGGCCACACACCCCAACAAAGGGGAACATAAAACTTCCATACTTAAGAAAAGAAATAGTTCAGGGCCCCCTGACTGTAGAAGAAAGACACAAGATGTGATGAAGTAAGCGCACAACAACGTGCCAAATAAGACGCAGTCACCTGATTAAAGGGAAATCAACTCTGATGTCATATAGTAGTGGTACAATAGCTATATCAAGCTATATAGTTTATGTCTTCCATATTTCCAGCCATATCCATAATCACATACTGTGTATGCTACCATTGTATGTAGTGTGTTATCTTACTTCTTTTCACTGATTGTACTTATTTGTATTTTTGTATTTCCTTCTGATATTTGTACCTGAGCTGAGGTGACGCAAAAATGTCCCCGTTGTGGGATCAATAAAGTCTTATCTTATATTCTTGTACACAACACTTAAAAGTGCCCTCTTTTCACTATTTTTCCAAACTATTTTCATTGTTTGAAAGCACGATGTCAATAAAGATTCTGATTCTGAAGCAGTGCAGTTACGTCTGAGTGCTTTTGTTATTAGACACAATTCCTCGCACAAGTGTTGTTGCTATATTTCCAACACGCTGTGTGTTTGATTCTGTTTGTCAGCCTGCACTGAGACTGCTGTGCGTTGATTGAGTTTTCATTGTTGATTGTTTGGAGATGTCTGCTGAAGGACAGAAGGACAGAAGGACAATCCACCCTTGTTGGATTGAACAGTTAACCGAGCCCATCAGAGAGCCAATCATCAGTGTTACTCTGCACAGCTCTGCACTCTTGGCCCAGTTTGGCTGTGAAAGGGAGGAGTACACACAACCTTCACTTCCAGCAGGCGTGATGGTTGCTGGAAACGGGTCTCGTGTGTCCGCGTGGATATTACATTCAAATGTGGATCATGTGATCAGGACATTTCACGTTGAACGCGTCCGTTTGCCATTATATCGATGCATGTTCAATCTTCACAAGTAAGCACATTTTATCAGTAAAGTTCAAAAACACACAGCACCAAATGCTTCAGGACAGCGAGCAGCTCGACCATGAAAATGAAACGATGTGTGGTGAGAAAGCAGAAATCATGTGGCGTCTGCTGAGATAATCCTGTCACAGGTCGCTCTGAGCGCTTCGCACAATCTTTTTGCCAAACCCAGTGAAACCGAGCGCCTCGGTGCGTTCACTGCATATACTGAGGTGTATTTGTATTACAACACTTTAACGTGGAAGGATTGTTATTATTTCTCTTTCCAAAATGGTCACTTCCTGCACTGGTAGTTTAGAAGTATGTGATGAACAGGATCTAATCAGTCTGATACGACACTCGGTCCTCATTAATATCGTGAAAACGTGTTTGGTAGGTGAATTATGTTCATGTCTATAGTTAGTTTTAAATGCTTTTAAATGCTTCTGTCCTTCAGCAGACTTGATCACATCAGAGTTTGTGTGACATGGGTCTTGAAAGTTCGTAAAATGTGAAATCCTTCCTGGTCGACACTCGGACTCTTTTTGTCCTCGCATCAATCCGGTGTCATTTTGTCGTGAAAGAATGAATATCATGTAATATCATGTACAGTGCTTTACACATCTATTAGAACACCAGCCCATGTAAGGTTTATGCAACACTTACTTGAAATCAGTGGTGCTAAACATAGGGCCCGGGGCCAGAATCTGCCCGCCAAAGCCTCCAATCCGACTGCAGGGACGACTTTGACTGCGAGGATGGATTTTTGGACTTTAAACTGTGTATTTATAACTTTTATATGACGTTTTCTGCTGACTAAGATTCCTGCATGGCCATTCATGCTACACCAAAGTATTTAAGTAATGCATAAACAAATAAATGGCAGACAACTTCCTGTTTTTCGCTGTGTACTGTGGACACTTTGGGGGGGAACGAACATTTTCTGTGAATGAACAAAAACTGTGTTATATAAATATGATCGTTTTCAGTGATTTTACACATCTTTCATGTAGAAAAACGGACGTGTGCTGTTGAAATTCTTTATGTTCTATGCACATATCTCTGGGATTAAATGTGGTTAAATGTCACAGAAAGGCTAGTTTGACTCCTCCAGCCCACTTCAGATCACTGTGGGTTACCTGTGGCCCTTGATGTAAAACGAGTCAGCATCTCTGCTCTAAAGTGTCACAGTGACCAAAGTCATTCCTGATATTTCTGTAATGGTTAATCGACCAGTGTGCGCAAGCTGTTAAATCAAAATGCTGCTTTTAATGCCAAACTACAATTATTGCTGTTATCCATGAATTTTCACATTTACTCTTAATAAAATAAAATAAATAAGGTCATTTTAAACAAGTGCTTGACAGATTTCTGAGATATTTTTCTTGATTTTTGACAAGGAGGTTAATAAATTTAAGCACTGCAAGTATCCTGTTAAAAGTCAACTGTTATGTTCACAAGTGGTCTAATTAGAATAGGACAAAGCAATAAGGGCAATAAAGAGATCTAAGTGTACATTTATTCATATATTTATTTCCTCGATGATGCTTTCAATCCAAGTGTCGATGTTGCCTTCCTGCTATCTATTTAACGTCGTCATGATTATCGGATCTTTTGAACGTAGCACAGCGCAAATGGGGGTTTCGGGGTGGAAGTTTCCTTTAAAGCCTCTACGCGCTTGCGCACGGCGTCCTCTGCTGTACAAACCGTTTCAGCACAGCTACTGAAAGCCACGAGCCTTTTTGTAAGTTGCACAACAGAGCTGTTGAATTTCTTGCGTGAGATTTTCCCTCATCGGGTTGTAGATTTTGAAATATTTCCTAGGAGCCACGATGGTTCAGTCCATCACAACTGCAGCCTGTCGATGAATGAAAAGCCAATGAAAATATGTCCTAATTAAACGTGTCTGATCCCATTTGTCTGCAGCGGGGTCAACGCGCATGTCTGCGCTGACTGATCCGTCATTCGCTGTGCGAAATGCAATTAAACCGTCCTGCGCTTGGTCGACGTCGCGGAGGGCAGTAACAGTATTGCCCTGCACGGGTCTAGCGCTTCGTCTTTGTCACGCACTGATCGATGATTATTGGCAGCCAGCTTTAGATCCAGACGCGTCTGCGGGAGCTGAAAGAGAAGAGCTGGTGTGGACCATTAATGTGCAAACTAGTGCGGTTCATTTCTCCAAATATTTGGCGTGGAGATAAGGCGGCCAGTAGCAGTGATTGACAATGCTCGAGCGCATCATAATGGGGCTTTTGCCGTGACCACCAACACAAGTTCAATATTGACTTTTTGGAGCATGCAGCAGCTCCGCCTTGTTCCCAGGGAGACGCGTGATAATGAGATGCTACAACATAATGCGCAAACCAAACTGCGCCTCTGCCCTCTTCCTGCATTCAAAGCAGAAACAGGGAGGTCTGATGCTGCGCAAATGGAACGGATTGACCTATAAATTGGACTGCTTTTGAATGCAAATGGGCGGATACTAATTAACACCTGCGTTGTGGATTGAAGGAGCTCGTTGGGCCTTGATTGAAAAGAAATGGCACCTATGAGTGTATGAGATGCGGCTTTGAACTAGGCAGCTCGTCTCTGAGCGTCATGGGAAGGAAGGAGGACTGAGAAATATCACACAAAGGCCATCTTAATTTCCCAAATTAGGGGTTGTAATGTGAGGCAGAGAGGACAGCAGAGTATTTTAGGCTGTGGAGAGCAGGCACTTAGACTGGCATCTGGCTGGACTGGACAAGATTTGCTTGGAATTTACATGTCTGCTGACCACAGACAGTCTACAGGTTTGGACCTCACCCGTGGCTCTTTGTTATGGAGGATGCGCTGATTATTATCATTAGCATACACT